CCACAGCTGCTTTCTTTTCGTTGACAAGATTACGATTTCCTTTTGCATTCAATCACGTAATATACATACCATATAACAGAATGTTATATTTCTTTCATTTCTACCTCTGCATATCCTTGTTATACTCATGACGTGCACTATAGTTTATACATATACGACAAACCAGGCTCGTACTTTTATCGTAATTGAATTTTGAATTCAATTCTAATTTTAATCCGCACAATCGAGGATCGATAAATGGAAAACGTGCCAAGCATATCTGCTTTCCGTATTTATCTTAACATTGTAGCTGTGAAGGACTCAACTTCCTAGAAAATTATAGATTAACCAGATAGTTATTTCATTTCACTAGTTGCAATTTCTTCATGACGAGTACACTTATCAGAAACAACTGACTGGCTAAAGAGTTAATAAAGTCCTATTTTTTATTGTTATTGAACACAATAATAGTCAGGCACTATATGAGTTACTTTTTGGTCGGTAAGTTTTCAAATTTAACTATTTGGTACTCTCAATGTTAAAAACAGTCGTTGTTTATTAATGTATAAGGACCTTAGGGTAAGAGGTTAATTATCGAATATTAATTCTTCTGAGTTTCTGTTAGCAAAGGAACCCTGGTGATACATTCTGATTTCTATGAAACTTTGCACAATTCATAAGAACTAAGAGTGTAATCGGAATTTTGGTATCTGTTTTTTATTATAACAGAAAAATCTACCCCTTCATATGGATCGACCCGACCATATAACTGTTTTTAAATTGTGAACGACAGAAGATATTAAAAAATGTATGAAACAAAAAATTCCACTGTTTCTGTAGATAAATCTATATGAAAGGTTTTTAAAAAAAATAATTTTTTTTACAATAATTCAGTTACCTTTTCCATCATTTTTTTTTTTAAATCAAAATTCCTCTTTTTACGAATAAAAGCATTTTTTGTTTACAAATTTAACGATGTAGTATAGTATGTAGTTATTGTAATTATTCCACATACAATGGCCATTTAAGATTTTGTGTATTTTCTACATTGATTATTAAATTAATATATAGTTGCTATATTTACAATCTTTGTGATAAAAGTTATTTTTATATATGTGACATATCGCAGTTAGATAACCGCAAGTTTACAATATAATTCTACATAAGGTACGGTAACGGGAAACACACGAGGAAACGTGGTTGAAGTATTATAATGTTATTATAATAAAATTGAGAATTATCTAACGATAGAGATGGTTTATTCGTTGTAGATATTACACTGACGTAATTCTCCCATATAGAAAATACACAAAACCTAAAATAGTAATACATATACAGGGTTTGTCCAATAAGTATCCGGATTGATGTCCTAAAATGAAGTGCGTTGAAGATATACGTACATTGAGTTAATAATCTTCAAAGTATGCCCCTCCTGCATCAATACACCGTTGCCAGCGGGTTTTCCATTGTTTATACGCTTCCTGGAAGTCGGCAAGCGTAAGACTGTTCAGGCACTCCGTCGAAGCCGCTTGAACCGCCTCAATCGTCCCGAAACGATGTCCTTTAAGGCTTCTTTTAATGCGAGGGAACAGAAAAAAATCAGAGGGTGCCATATCTGGACTGTAGGGTGGTTGGGGTAGTGTTGTGATGTTATGCTTCGTCAATATCTGTCTCACAATTAACGATGTGTGACTTGGCGCGTTGTCGTGATGGAGCATCCAAGAATTCGCGATCTCGCTTCGTACGCGGCGTACTTTAAGTCTCAAACGTTCGAGCACTTCTGCGTAAAATTGGCCATTCACTGTTTGTCCAGCAGGCACAAACTCCTTGTGGATAACACCTTTTGCGTCAAAGAAGACAATAAGCATCGATTTTATCCTTGACTTGCTCATGCGAGCCTTTTTCGGTCGAGGAGAGCCGCTTGTGTGCCACTCAGCACTTTGCATTTTTGACTCCGGATCGTATTCAAAAATCCATGTTTCGTCACCGGTAATCACTCTGTCTAAAAGATTTGAATCCCTCTCCAAACATTCTAAAAGTTCACGAGAAATCGTCACACGGCGTTCTTTCTGTTCCTCTGTTAAAAC